TACACGGCGTTACTACCCAGAAGACCCACATCGACGCCTTTACTGACGTCAAAATACAAAAAAAATCACTAAAAGCATAATTAAATAAACCATTTAAGATATTGTTACCCACTCGTCCGCTATCATCACATCTAAACTCACTCAGGACGTCCAGATAAGATCCCGGGACCATCCACATTAACAGCCAGCCTGTGCCTGAACTGGAACAAAAGAGAATTCATCTAATTCATTAGATTACAGTTTTTGTCCAGAAAACAATTTTTCTTGTCATTGTTCATTTCGCCAATATAATGGTCTGTTCTGTTCATTGCAGAATCACAGGCACAGTGCTGAACCAATATCGTACGGTCTACTGCTCTTTTAATGACATTCTGTTGTATTTAATTTGTTTTCGTAGTAAAATAACATTGCAATTACTACTAATAATAGGCCTGGTACCTGTATTTAATACGCCATCTGAACACAAAACACAAAATGGACTCGTATTGTTCATATGCTCGTATGTTTCAACTCCTGAAATAATTTATTGGATTCAAACAATTATATTCAACTTTGACTGAATTTAATTTCTTCCACCTAGTACCGAGATTAAGAATGAGTGGAGCTGTATCTCCAACCTCCCGTATGAATTTATTGTGTAATTCTAAATTAATCGCAGGGGTCGACTTTCCCTCTGCTTTGCCAGACAAGGTTTGCTTGTAATATTTTAACACATTCTGAAGATTACACATAAAAATGTTATTCAAAAAATATGAGTCGCCATGGCAAAATATCGCTTGTGAAATCGCCGACACATGCAAAGTTCGTTGCATGAAAACGCTCGTTTATAACCAAAATGCATAAACGTAGCAGGCAGTAACCCAGTTCTTGGGGGCTGTAACTTGGCAACAGACCGTAAGAGGTGACGCTCGCATCACGGTATAAATATTTGCTCTACAGAAAGCTAAACAATCTTTTCTTTTACACACCGTGTTCTCTGGCAGTTCGGATTCAAAATTAATCCTATCTCTGCAAGCGTAAGAATCCTTTATATGAGACAAGCCCTATCTTACTCCACGAAGAAGTGTCCATCTTGGGAAGTTAAGAGTGCGCTGAGCTAGCCAAGAGAGCAAGAAATGCAAATGAGGCTATGATGATACCTACGGTGGGGTCTAGCGGAGTCTGCGTTTGGCGGGATCCTGGGGTCTGAAGTCAATTGGTCGTTTTTGTGTCGGTGTTGGCAGGAATTTGACTTCGTTCGACGTTAAGATACTTTCACATTTAATTTACTTTACAAAGAAAGGTTATCAACGTACTTTCAATGCGATTTGCAAGGATAATGCTAAAAAAAAATACTTGATTCCCGTCAAATCTGACGGGGCGTACTACGCTAGTCCTAATAACATCTGGTGAATGGTCCAAGGCATCATTCCTTCACGAGCCATCAAACATTAACGGAGACTATACAACACAGAGAACGTAGAACATGAAATTTGCAAAAGACAATCGCGGGTGGGAACGTGACTGAGATACTAAACGCCAGCGTGACCTCATTGAGGCTAATTACTATGATAAAGTGTGAACAGTTTAATTACTTTATGGTTTAAAAACGTGTTATGATAACGCAGAGTCACAAAATGTCATTAGCAACACCTTCAGCAAGCGTTGCTCTTTAGTTCAGTTCACTGGCGCGGTAACTGATACGCCTTCTAGCATGATAGTGACGCCACACTTTACATTCTGTGGCTCGTCCAAAGGACGGGTCCACTCTTAAGATCCGTCAGTGTCCGGGACGTTTTGCACTATATCCATATAAATACAAGTTTGTTCCATAAACTGAGATGTGTAATTAGTAAATAAAGCAGTTCGTTCGGAAATTTACTCACAGCGTAACGTATCTGCTGTGGACCTCACAATTTGACACTGGACCTTTGAGAATATCTGTGTATCCACAGGCTAGGAATTTTACGTCCAATCACTTCTGCGCGAAAAAAACCCTCACGTGTCTTCATATAGAGAGCCTGTTAATTTTTGTTTACAACCAAAATTTGAACGGATCAACACATTTTTTATGTAACTCGCCTAAAAATTCATTCGGCGGCTTTCAAATTGTTACACGCGGACAGACAGACAGACAGACAGATCAAGACAACACGCAAATTTGTGCAACTTTTAATTATTAAATTTCGTCAGCGTAAGTCAACTTTCTAGCCCAGCTATCACTAAGAGTCATTCTTATTCTTCGTTTGTTTAACGACGTTTTTAACAACTTCGTTTTTAAGTAACGTCGGATGATAACACGAAAAGTGGGCTGGAAAATATCTTGAAAGTAGTCTGATTGAAGATAATATCTCAGCACTTGCCTGGACAGAGCGAAGAACATCGCTAAATACCGAAGTCAGGGTAGCCGTCTCTGGAATAAGATCTGAGGCCGAGACCTCTCAAACAATAAGCAGGAGTGTTAACCACCAGAACGCAACGTTCAATATAACCGCTTATCATTTCTTCATCTCTTACACTTGTATCATTTATCCTGTTCTTAGTTTATTAAAACGACTGCACTGATACTGATTCATATACAAGGACTGGCCTTTACGTTTCCTTTGTTAAATAAAGATTTATAGAAAATAAATTCCCATACGTAATTTCAGACCTCGCAAACTGTGTCATGGCCAGAATCGAAGAAAGAATACGATATAATTCTGCAGAACAAATACCTAACTTTAAACGAAAAGTAAAAGTTTTCTTTGGGAAATACAAGGCAAACGCATATGTTTTTCGAAAAGGTTTGTAAAAAATATGGTTGTGCTTAAACTAGTGATAACGTACAGGCAGTGAGACAAAGATAAAAGATGATACAGACAAAAGACGGCTAGAATCAGCAGAAATCAGAAACTGAATACCCTTAGCTGGATGTAGGATTGAAAGACAAATAGAACGTAAAAACCTAATTCAGATAACAGACGAAAGTAATGGAGATTACTGATTGTTACTAAGTTACATGCAGCACGTTATAGGGGAGAATATGTAAGATTAACAGGAGTGGGCGAAGACGAGTTGCTGGTGATATCTTAGAATTACGAACCTACAGGGAAAAGGCAAGGAACGAAGATGTTAAGAACACAAAGAACGAATAATGCAGTTTATGAGATATAAGCGATTATGTATAAATGAAAAACTAGCATAAAGGAAAACAATAGATTGTAAAAATAAAACGTATATAACACATTTACGACAGTATTTAGAATCAGTAATAAGAAAATAAGGTGAGCGAAGTGCAGTAAATAATGATATTAAGCTCTTACAAGAGCGAAATGATAGCGCGTATATGAAATACACAATTAACCGTAAAATAAGAAGAGTTATCTGTCTCACACTTGCTTGTAACTTATTTACAAGTGAACTTAAATAAATTGGACTGAATTAAATTGAATTAAATTGAAAGGAGGACAAAATGACGACTGAAAGACGATTTGGGAGCTATGCAAGCGTTGAGATGCATAAATTATGAACACAAGAATACGTCAACATAAAGTATGTAAATAATGTGAGAAATATTTAATGGGGAAGTATTATTTATAGTACAACTTCAGACAACAAGAATAACTAACACATTTCAAAAGAATTGATTTCATCTTCAAAGTTGGAGGCGACATAATCCTCCACATTTAGACCAGGCGGTATCACATCCCGGTAAACATTAATTTTCATCGTAGTTTCGTATGATTCTCAATGTAACCGACCTACGTAACGGAGAAGCGTTGTGTTTTCTTCGCGGTGCGGACTGAATTCTCAGCGATTATTTAGACGAACTTCGGTTTCAAAGCATTCACTTGTTTTGAAGACCGCAAGTTCACAATTATTAGACAAAAGCAATTAGCGTATACATTAAAAGCCTAGAAGGAGATAAATAACGCAGAGCAATAATGCATCTCTCTTAATTAAAACTACATTAAATTACGAAAATTAATAATAACAGATAAATAACGCAGAGAAATAATGCATCTCTCTTAATTAAAATTACATTAAATTACGAAAATTAATAATAAATAACCTATGACGCTGATATCGATTTCGGTACCTTTATTACCAAACCATTCTATGCTAAGTACGTTCTGTTATAAAACACGTAATTATGTCGACACATCTTTGCTAGGGTTGGGGGTTGTGAAGGGAGGGCAGGATCTGAATCAGTAACTACGTCTTTAAATACGTCCTTGACAGCAATCGGAACTCATGATCTCAAGACATTCGGAATCCTATGAAGACAGAGAGAAAAAAAAACACAGAGGGCAACCAACTTCACGTCTTTAACAGAATTTAAGCTGAAAATCACGTTTTCGATTAATGTGCTTGAATTTATAATTCATTAATTAAAGTGAACTGGGAAGTATCTTAACAATAACTGATGCGTTTGTGAAGTAAATATTTTCCTTTTCAACGTTTAGCTGCAGACCGCTCCAACACTAGGATCCTGGGTTTCGAATCCCACTCCAAGCATTCATGTACGTGTGTCAATGATTATCTGCTGTCGTTCGTAGGTAGAGACATGACAGTCCGATCCGTAGTAAAAGTAGTCCTCACGAATGGTTGAAAAAAGGATTCATAGTTTCATAAGTTAATTCAGAAGAACATACACTGCCTCCACTGGCCCTGAAGATGGAAGCAATATGTCGCTCCGAAACGCTAGTGTCTACCTACAAATCCACACGGCTTTACAGCCCAAAAGACCAATATCGACATCTTCATCGCCGCGAGAATATAAAATCTCAAAGATATTTCGCAATTTTTCTCACATCCTTCATTAAAGTTAAAGGAGATGGCCTAAAATAGGCTACGACCGCTTCCTTCCACATTCACAATTGAAAAACACTATCCAACTCGATTTTTAGGGGTATACAACCAATCTATACCTTTAAAAAAAATAGATTCGCGATCAATCCGACTGTAAAGTAAGATTAATTTGTGTTTCGCAAAGCATTACCAACTGAGCTGCTATGTTTTCGCTGTTTATTGCTTACCGTGTGATTCCTCGCCATGGGGTAAGGTGCTCTGTCACACAAGTGCGTCATTAAGGCGGTGTTATGGTGTCCCGATCACTGTATTAGGTAGCACACAGAAAGCTTCTTCAGCACTCACAACGCCACTACCGTCTCCTGCCAGCATCAGAGAGATACTGAGCACTGATGCTGCTGCTACGTCTCGTCTCCCCTCGCCCCGCTGGCGAATCAAGGCACTCTCAGTCACCCACACAAAATGGCGGACAGCGCTACGGAACAGATGAAGAAACACATCACTTAAAAATGCGTTGAAACATCTGATATTGAGAGTTTATATGAATATTTAAGATGGTACAAGGAACCCAAGAAGAATTGTCTTTCCAGGTTACGTGACTTTGTATTTAGTGCGTGAATATGTACCGGAAGAATTTCTTTCTTCAAAATTTGAATCCTTATCTGTAAGAACAAACGAAGAAATATGAAATATGGATAACGTTAAAAATCAGTAAATGGTCATAGGTTTATACTGCATACACCCGTCGATGGCTGAATGTAGCCGAAACTAGTAGTGTATCTAAATGATGTTTTAAATCTTTTAATATTATTTTATTATTATAATTGTGAGTGACTGTAATAATTTTTAATATATATTTTAATAAAACGAAGAAACGTTAACCCATATAAAAACGAAAATTTGTTAATTTTCGCCTATAATATTTGATAATGCAATAATATCAGTGGAATAAAAAATAAACCGTTCAGTTAAGAATTTACTCTGGATTTTCGTATTTTTTTAAATTAACGTTCGTGGATGAAACAATTATTTTTCCTTGTTATCTTATATATGTGTAAATGTCGGTCTTCAAATTTCGAGAGGAACAATCTGATAGGCATATATTCTGGCGATGATGTGTTATGAGAGATAAACAAACAGGGAAATGAAATAAAATAAATTAGGCCTAAATTACAAAGAACTACCAAACTTATGCACTTCACTTGTCAGTGAGAATGTTTGCAAATAAATATTTATTTTCCTGTTGAAAAAAAATATCAGCTACTGAAAGTATAATTAACTTCGTTCAGTTGATTATTTTATTTAGTTAAAAAGTGAGCCTATAAAAGTGCTTCATCGTTCTTTACATCTGATTAAGATGAATAAATATTAATCTTTATAAAATATCCCTTTGTTCGCAAACTGATCAATTTGTATTACATTCTTTTTGACTACGTCACTATTCTATAATTAACACCTTAAAGCCCAGTGGTAATTATATGTACCAATTAGTAACTCTAGATTTTGTACAAAGGGTTCGTATAATTCTCGCTGCAAACAAGGATTATTTCCTTAAAAAGCAAAAACCAGTTGATATTTATAATGATATATGTATAATGTTCTTTGACCCAACAAATAGCGTACATTAGACTAGATAATGGTTACTGCAGAGAAACACTTTCCCTCTGTGTGTTATTTATTAAACGACGCTGTCAGTAACTCAGGCTATAGCGTCAGATTACAGAATGTTTAATTAACAATGAACTGGAGAAACTATGGATGTAGCGGTAGTGACCTAATTTAAGGGTTATATATAGGAGCTTCCTCGAGAGACTGAGGAAAAACACGAAGAACCTCAGTCAAGATAGCCGGTCTCAGGGCCGAAACTTGTTTCCGGGTCTCCATATTGCGATGCAGTACTAACCAAATGGCAGCAAAGCTCGGAGATTTTAAGCGTCACCTTAGATTCCTTTAGCTAAGGTGGGGAGAGACTGATCACTGATCGATTCCCCTAAGTAAGGCTCTGATTTATCATAGACGATTTATTTTCGTCTTAAGAATGCTGCCTCAGAACGTAGCAGAACCCAGTACTTTTATATCGTAGGTCTACGTGCAGTGCATGTTATTCGAAGCAGTGACACCGTGACACTGAAGGTGCACTGTTCATGTCTGCACTGTGATGTCGGCTGTCCGAACCAGCCGCTTCGTGGCCAATGGGGAAGAACAAAGTCACGGAAGAAGTGTCAATAATGGAGCATTGTTGGGAACGAAGCCTGACGTTGTTACAGAAGTGACAGGGACTTCACCGCGGGTCTAGGACGGATATTTGCAACGCACCTACCCATTCATTCACTTACCAACACACACCCTTCAGCTGATATCAGGCGTGATCCTTCTTAAAAGCTTCGTTCAACAATAAACCACAACGTTCACTTTAAGAAAACTGGTAACATGTCTGTATCGTAGTTTTTTTTTTTTCAATGACGCCGTGTGGACTTGTACGTAAAGATACCAACGTTTCGGGAAAAAAAATACTGCCTCATTCTTTAAGGTTGGATTCTTAATTTAACTTAGGGATACACTTATTTCGCTTTCACTAATTTGTCTTGCAATTTCTGACAGCATCTTGTAAAAAAAAGTAACGAACATTTTAATTCCATAAAGGACGCGGAATTTCTTGATCACCTAATGTTTTGGGGACAAATCGGTAGTGGTCTATTTCAACGTATTATTTCGACATTAGCCTGTGGACCAAGGCTCTGACAGAGAAACTTCCGAATTTCAATCACCGCCTAAGTCCACATGATGTGTTACACCGTTTAAATATCCGCTATTTAAATAGTATTTCATATGATCAAATTTTTATTATATATATATATATATATATTAAAATTTCCTATTTCATTTCTGCCCACAACATAGAACTCCCCCAACACACATAACTGCATTCGTTATATTTACTGAACCGACTCTCACAAAGACGATGCAATGGTAAACATCCATATTTCAACCTACCGGAAATTATATATCTGTGTACACCGTATTTCATTTTACTAATGTATAAGGTAACTGCTACAGAAGAATCATATATAAGCATTGTCCAATAAACAATAAACAAATATTTTTCCACATGCTGTTATGTATCATCACTTCATATTGATGTAGATCAGTTATAAATCTATTGTCAGCAGGATTAAAGATGCATCACAGAGAAAAATATTCAAATAAAAGTCATACGTCTTACCGACATATAGTTTGTGTCATGTTACATGGCGAGTTTATAATCCTGAGAGCATAATTTACATCAATATATCGATCTCTCGTTTCTATAGCAAAGAATAAAAGATTAAATTTGAAATTTTAAGACCCTGTAGTGGAACTTAATCCGGTTTAAATTTGGTTCCAAGTATTACTGTGCAAACCCCGCACGATACATTTATAAAGTTCCTTTAAACATAATAAAAATAGACATCACAGACGAGATCGCACTGCCATCCCTTCCCCTGTGGCTCGAATAGTTTCATAAAGTTCAGGTGTTGGGGGGAAGACTGCCGACGACGTACTAGAAGTTTCCTCGTAATTCTCCAAGCGAAGTCAAGGAGATAGGTTATGGTTGTGGTTTACAGGTATCTTAGAAATTAAGTTAATCAGTGACCTGCATATTCGGTTCCCAAACTGACCAAAAATTTCTTATGGGTTCATGAGAATCTTTCCATGTGCTCCACTGCAGAGCGCTCGAGGTGATTGTGCTAATTACACGAGCCCTTATCGGAGTAAAAAAAACATCAGAATATCCAGACGATACGCAAGTATTAAAATATCGATATACTACATTCATATTTCGATACATCTTGCCCGTCCCTGATTCTACATGCCAAAAATAAAATTAAAAATATTATAATAGCTTGCTGGTGCAAGCCCGTTGTTAAAAGAATTGTCAGCACGCCTTGAACGGATTAACACGAATCGTCTCCTTTCTAATTCCGACCGGAAAAATTAGTCCGTGATACTCCGTTAGAGACCTTCGTACTTAGCTCACATAATCAATTAGTTTCTTCAGCTTGATTGTCTTTTTGTAACAATAAATTATAAAGTAACCGACAACAGCCGATCATAGATGATCTAAGCTGCAGATCTTGGCCGATCCTCGATACTGACATTCTGTGTTCGAAATACACTCGAGGCGCGTCTGTGGTGTGCTCGTCTTTGTTCGTGGAAGTTTTTCTTCTGGATGACAGCCCTTCTAAGAAGACCTACCAAATGTTAAGGTCTCGGAATCTGACGGAAAGATGATCGATTTAATCATTCTCGATTAGCAGGCGAAATGGCCTGGTCAGTGATTTCAGCGGGACAGATTTCCGAAGAGTATAGTTAACCTGTAAAGTCCCTTTTTAAATATTCTATGATTTTCCTTTTTGTCGTATTTTGGAACCGTGTCCATGAATTATTGTCGTGACACTGACGCAAGAAACTTCAACTTGTCCATTACTTATTAACGATGTGTCCTGGTACGATTTCAAACACGTAAAGCTAATCTGACTCCGATGTACCTGCCTCCACATTGACATCAGGAAAATCGATTTTACCAGGTCATTATCTATTTGTGCATTTGCAAATAAATGCGCACAAATTTGCAACCTGGTCTCACACACGGTTTCTTCACACAAGTTTTTAACCAAATTTTACTGTGCATTTATTCTTTCGCCATTCATACTGTACGCTCCCCTACTCTCGTATTTTTTTCATTAGTTTTCCGTATTATCCGCCAATTTCGATTATCCGACAGTCCAGTTTACGTCAGATAATATGGACTGTACTCTAATGAGTACGGAAGAAGGAAGGCAGCAATCAACACACGGACCATGTTCCCGAACATAAGGTCTGGCTGTTCCTTACAACGTGCGGTCCAGACCAGACCGCATATATTTTAACCACACCATGTGCAGTTTTTCGAAATTGGATCGCCATAATATAAAGCCTGCGCTGATATAAACATCGAGACATTACTCACTTCTATTCCAGAGCACCGATTGTAATGAGTATTTTTAAATTTGAACCTGGGACCTCCCGTATACGAAACCTGAGTGCTAACAGCTCTGCCACGACGTTCGGTTACGAGCGTGAAATTTTGTACATAAATATCGGTATGTCACAAGAAGGCCTATACCAAAAAAGTCTTGTATTAATATTGTTTGTAAATTATCAGGTATATAAATTCAAATTGATGTCAGAGGGCACAGAGACATGCACACAAACACACACAAACGATTATATTTTGTTTCTCTGTGCTCACAAATCGCACAGATATTTAACTGTTACTCTTCTGTAATTCATTATCACTCTTACATATCTGGAAGCCAACCCGTCATTGTCTCAAAAACCAACTAGCCAATCAAAATCAATTAACTTGTTGAAAGCGAGTGTCAGAGTTCTAATTATTCGTATCTAAACCAATTAAAACTTTTACTGGCTATATTGGTTTCAGGACTTTTGTAT